GGGGGGGCTTGCTCATTTATGATACAGTATTAGGCAGTTACCTCAGAAATGACAAGTTGATTTCAGAGAAAATTTCTCAATGGATTGGCTAGAAGTTCATCAGAGGTAAATTAGGGTACACGCGTGTTCAAATTGTAATAAATTTGGGGATAATGAAAGTAACTTACAATGCTATGTTCCAAAGGAAACGAACACAATTCAGCAGAATTCTCATAGTTGTGTGATCTCAGAAAAAAATTTGTTCGTATCATGAAATGATAAAAATTTCAATGGTATGGCACAAATCATTCATCATTGATAAGCATTATTATTTCTTAGTAATTTAATCTGGTTCACAGGAGGAGCAGGGCATTCATGAGACTGAGCTTATTGTTAGTAAAAATTAAGTAGCTTGACTCGGAAAAGTGACAAATTGCGCTATCAGAAAATTGAATTAAAATCATTAATTAAATTTCAGTGGATTGACAGAAAAAGGATCATCATATAGCTTATTGCCAGATGAGGAGCTACTTTTCTTTGAAATGTGAAGAAAACTAGTTATGTTTCAAGTTCTCATTTATGGGAGTTTTTAATAAATAATATGTCCTCTTTCTCCTTTTCTGCTTTATCACAAAGAACTAACGCAAGGGGTAAAATAGAAAAAAATCGAATGAGATAGTAAAAGTGTACCAATTTTAGCAGGAGTTTCGTCATCATCGTCGGATTCCTCACTGGAGTCCTCATCAGCATCAGCTTTTCTCTTAACGCCTTTTTGTGCTTGTGGTTGAGCTGCAGGTTTTTTGGATGGCTTAGCTGGTTCTTCTTCTTCATCGCTATCATCTGGATGCAGATAGGTAATATATTACAATTAAGGAAGCATTATTCTTTCATATAAATAGAAGTTGTCAAATAAAAATGATGACTATTCCACTTTCTAAAATTGAATTTTTGAACAGCAGTTTGTAGCAAAACTGACACTTGATCCTTTAAGATAATTTTACCTCAAATAAGAGTCTCATAAGTTAGCAAAAACCTGAAAGATCTGTAAAAATGGTTACAGCGTTTCTCAGTCATGAAAAAGGAGGTTTCACACGCTTGACCCTGTCAGGGAAAGCATCAAATCTCAAAGACTAAGCCATCATTGAAACACTGTGTTGCTTTTGTGTATAGCGCTTACATTTTAAATGCAAATAGAAATGCTCGAATCTTGAGGAAATTTTAAATTCAAACATATGAGACACAGTTAGAATAATTGAGCGCATGTGGCTACAAAATTTCAAAATCTTCAGAAAAATCATTTTGCTGAAGTCTTAAAAATTATAATGTCTCTCGTGATTTGCCTGCATTGAAAGAAGCATGAGGATAAATAAGGATGTTTCTCAGTGAAAATTAGCAAGTTTCACACATTTCACATATTAAAAGTGAAACATCAAATCTCAAAGACTAAGCCATCATTGAAACAAAAATTATTCCCAAAAAAACAGTGCAAAAATAGGTTGGTTAAGAACGTAAAGAGCATGAAAAGGAAATGAGAAGTTGTGATGTGTATTATGGAAGAACTACTGAATGACAACCACGCAAATGCAATTTGAGGGATGTCAATTTGCTGCCGAACACTTCCTAAATAATTTTATTTTCCTCTTCGATTTATCCAGAACTTCCCTAGTATATAAAAAAAACCCTCACCTATTTACCTCACAGATTGAGAGAATGAATTGAAAAGTTCTGAGAGATTAAATAAGAATTGCAAGTTGCCTATTGAACATGATTTTGAAAGCTGTAAACTTCCTGCTGACAAACGAGTAACTTACCACTTGAGTCATCACTACTCTCTTTTTTAGCTGCTGGTGCTTTAGCCGCACCTGCTTGCTTCTTTCCTCCAACGGCCGGTGGTGCTTTCACAGCAGGCTCTTCCTCAGAACTTGAATCCTCTTCTGAGGAGCTTTCAGCTTTCTGCGCAGGATATGGTGTTCCAATTGACTTTTTGGGAGCAGCTTGTTTGGGCGTCTGGACAGCTGGTTTCTTTGCGGGGGCTTCTTCTTCAGAGCTGGAGTCTTCATCAGATGAGCTCTCAGCTTTTTTTGCTGGGAACGGTGTTCCTATTGATTTTTTGGGAGCAGCTTGTTTCGGAGTCTGGACGGCTGGTTTCTTGGCAGGGGCCTCTTCTTCAGAGCTTGAGTCCTCTGAACTGGAATCTTGTTTGGCAGAGGCTTTGACCTGATTGAAAGAGGAAACAATTACAGGTAAATGAACTGAATGTTGAAGGATGAATAGAAAAAAGACAAATCCATAAGTATATTGTATGTCAGGAAGTTTCAGCGTCCCTGATAAACCATGGTTTTTGCAGCTCATCACTAGTCATACTTCATTCACCTATTTTAGTCAGTAAATTTAATTACAGAGCAAAAGCTCTGAGAGAAATCTTGTATTTTGTCCCCCTTGTATCTATCACACATCTTGCATATTGAGCAGTGTTCAAAATTATGCAGATTCAACTTTTAATGTTTCTTTGCAAAGGAGTTTGTCAGAACTCTTTCAGGTGATAGAGAGCTTTGAATGTCATAGGAAGTTAAAATGTTTATTTAAAAATGCATATTGTCAAGACTATAACCAGAGCCTTGCAAGTACATTAAGAATTAAAAATGCATATTATCAAGACTATAACCAGGGCCTCGCAAGTACATCAAGAATGCAGGAAGCCAAAACTATTAGTAAAAATTAGTAGCGATTCCAGTGCTACCTTTTCTCTACATACCCAATGCCTACTTCAGAGGCACATGGACAGCATCATATCAAGTGTTGGGATCTTGCACATAAAAGCAGAAAGGGAATTGACATACTTATTTAATATTTCCAGAAATAGACAGGGAAATTCCCTGACACTGTATTATGATTGCCAGACCTCGAAATCACCTCAAAATATTTTATAATAACCACCTTTCATTGAAATTTTTCATGGAGTATACTTCACGCAAAGAAGTTTTCACGGAACAACAAATTGGATAGTTTTTCACTGAGATTAAAAAGTTTGCTTCAAAGCCTACTATGCCAAAAATTGAACGAAGGGTCTTGGAAATTTTACCAGATAAATGTTTGCGATCTTGGAGGGCTAACGATAAGATATGACAAATATTGAACAGCATGGGAAGTGGCTTACCTGCACTACAGGTTTCTTTCCTGCGGGTGCTGCTTTCTGAGGAGCAGCTTTGGTTGGTGCCTCATCTTCAGAACTGTCGTCAGAACTGGACTCCTGCTTGGCAGCTTGTTTCTTGGCCGCAGCTGCTGCTTTTGGAGCCGCAGCTGCTGCTTTTGGAGCCGCAACAGCAGCTTTCTTAGGTGCCGGCGTCTCTTCCTCCTCACTTGAATCGTCAGAGGAACTTTCTTGTTTTCCTGGCTTGGCGACAGGCGTGGCTTTCTTAGCAGCTACAGGTGCTGCTTTGGCTGCTGGTTCGTCATCTGAGCTGGAGTCATCAGATGAGCTGTCTGCTGCTTTGGGAGCGACTTTTGGAGCAACTGCGGGTTTCTTGGCTGCAGGCTGAGCTTTGGCCGGTTGTTTCGGGGCTGGTTCCTCGTCAGAACTGTCTTCTGAACTGCTCTCTTCAGCAGCTGCAGCTGGTTTCTTGGCTGGAACAGCTGCCTTGGCTGGCTGTTTAGCAGCAGGTGCCTCATCAGAGGAATCATCAGATGAGTCATCGGATTCCTGTTTCTTGGGACCCTTGCCATTGGTCATGGGTGGTTTTTTAGCCGCTTGGGCTTTTGCGGCAGCTGCTTTTGCAGCTGGTGGGGCATCATCTTCACTGCTATCTTCACTTGAACTGTAAGAAAGGAAGAGCAAAGTTGATTACTAAATTGCAAGTCAAACAAGTTGATTTTTAGGTTTGTATCTTCCTCATTGTCGCAGACATTTCTAAGAGGAGTTTCCAGAGAGAAACAAAACAATTAGGATAAACACACTTGTAAGCATATGTAATATAAGTACGGTAGTCGTGCTTTTTTTCTAATTTTATTGGCCAATGAGAGGAACATTGAAACATACTAAAATCAATCACTTCAGATGTTAACAATCAGGGACCAAATAAATAAAAATCATGTTGCTTTGAAAGAAAAACATTTATGACCCTTCCTCTTAAATTTGCTCCTGAATATTAAGTTTAAAAAGGATCGGTCAAAGATAATTATTCATAATACTTCAATCAATGAAAGATTAGCTGATATAGGAGACAGCAGTTCATCAGTCATAAAAGAAAATGGCTTCATGAATTAATCAGTCGGCAATTCCTATCAAATTCGGGGATCATCATTTGAACTGGATTTTACAGGATACTAGGTGAAAGTTCTCCCATGTCAAGAGACCTTGCATACTAAATGCAATGGTGAATATAGTATTGCTCCTCTGACGTAAGAATGAAAATTCATTTTCCCCATTCTTGAGAGCAAGCTATGAAAATACTGTGGCTCATGCCAAAGTGTAAATAAACTCTCGCCTCAGGGGAGCAACGAAAATGGCATAAGATGTTCATCAAAATCAGACTTTCAGCTGAGTTAAGTACCTGGACTGTTGCTTCTTGCCGACGACAGGTTTCTTTGCATTACCATTCATGAGAGGTTTGGTTGGTTTGGCAACAGTTTCTTCTTCCGATTCATCACTGGAATCAGATGATGTCTTCTTGACTTCTTCTGATAATTTGAACTTCCTTGGAGACGTCCTATGGGAAAATGAAATAGGTAGGTATCATAGTTTAAATATTTGATGGAACTTTGTCACACAACACACTCAGTTGAAACATTGCTTCTGAGTAGGAATGAAAACCTTTCACTGTAGGTCTTAGACGGTACTAGATGATTTGACCTGCCTAACTGAACTTTTCACGACTAGAATTGCAAGATTTGGGCATTTCAAGGTTGTTGTTCTTGGTGGTTTTTTTTTTTCTTTTTTTTTTTTCTATTATTATTTTTCAAATAATCACAGGAGAAAAACCAACATTTTTTAAACATATTTTACAAAAACATTTTTCGAATGCATTAAATAAATTAGGTACGAGACAATTTAGAGAAAAAACAGCATTGAGTAGTTTGTACATGTAAAATAAAACATGAGCAGAAGCTGATCATGGTGTAACTGGAAATACACTTTCTTGGAACGTAGCGATCAATGTTTTTTGCAGACATTTCAGAACACTCTTTGGCTGAAACGCTGGCATATTTCTTGGACTGTCAATGAAATTAATGAGGGGAGCACTAGAAATTGGACAGTGGGAAACTTCAAGTACCTATCTGAACTTAAGATTTGATAGCATGCGATCTCATTGAAAACATCATTTTTAGGGTTCACTGGGGAGTGGAAAAAATGCTGATGTTTTCTTGACCTGGTTAGCAGGTTATAAGTAACAGACAGATGTTCAGAGTTCATCAGACGCAGAAAATGGCTTCATGAATTGTTCAGTCGGCAATTCCTATCAAATTCTGGGCTCATCAGGTGAACATGAATTGAAATGTCAAGAGTGAAAAATTGATGGGTAATTTAAAATATCTTCTAGATTTCTTCTAATACACAGGAAAAAAAGAAAGAAAAAAAAAGACTCGCAATTTCTTAAAACTTATTATCTATCAAACTTAATTTCTATTTTAGGTAAAAACTATTCATGTATAAGGGAACCAACACATAAGCAGCGTTTTCACGATTTATGACAGGAAAATCAGTTCATCAGCTCAAAATAAAAGAATGACTTCATGAATTTATCAGTCGGCAATTCCTATCAAATTCGGGGATCATCATTAGAACTGAATACTTATAGTTGAATGCCTGTTGAAGTCAGGATATTCTTTCCACGATAAATTAGCAAGATTACTAGACGCGTTGACTAACATTATGATCCTTCATATATTGATATGAAACTTGATCTGAGTTGCAGATTTTAATTGATTCAAGGAGGTGCTCCTGGATGGTTGAAGAGAAGGGGATGCTTTGAGTGTCAATGTGCAGATCAACTTGCACCTCAGCCCGCCCTAGTCATATCCTCATAAAGATATTTCAGAGGCAAATGTACACAAAAACTAAATCATCATCAGTGCAAGACTGCAAATGTGAAAGCAGTAGTAGAAAACTTTCATGCTCCATTGACAGAGGCCTCTCAGCAAAAGTTAGGCAAATTAATATCCTGATGATGGTTTGATTAACATTACTTAGTTCTCATTGAATTGAGAACATAGAGGTTGAAGTAGATGATATGAAAAGGTTTATTAATAAAACCAAATTTCAGGGAAAATTTGTGCAGCTCTCATCAAATAAGGGAGGGAGCGTTAATCCTAGCACCTAACAGTCTACATAAAGAATCGAGAGATAAAACTTACAAATCGAAATGCTTCACTACTTCTTGAATGGATGGGGATCCTTTCGGTAATGGTGGCTGTAACAAAAAGAAAAAAATTTTTCCCTCAGAGATTTACAACGTTACTGAAAACTTCTTGCATGTAGTTAGGATGTAGCTGCAATGTAACAATTTTGGACATGCGAACAAGTTTGGTCCAGAACAAGTTTACTTCACAATATTTAACCTTAATGCTCACTTCTCCCCTAACAAGCATTTCAAATTCTAATAAAGGTAAATTTCAACAAAGGCTACAGGGATTCATTATCAGAAGTTTTAGAGGAATGAACTATGTCAGACAGAATCAAGCTAAGATTTCCCGGGAACTTCGTAAGCTAGACCACTTATGTAAAGTGCATTCCTCCGCAGCTATTTTCTTTCGTTTAGAGCGAAAATCACTACTTCACGTAGCTTTACATGAAAAATATGTACAATTCCTGAACATGTATAACAACCTCTTAATATACATGCTTGACACGTGTAACTGTACTTCCTCCAAACCGTAGCACCCAGTGTTTGAGACACGCCGGCCAAACAGCAATATGCCAGAAAGAAATTGCCTTCTGCCGCTAAGAAATGAAACTAGCGGTCAAGCGAAAAAAACGTTGTTTAACTGCGTTTGTGGGATTTTTCGGCATATTCCTGACTCCTTAGCATTTCGAAAGGACAATTTTTCATGTTGATCCCTCAGAATTCTGAAATGGCCCCTGAGTATAAAAGTTGCAGGCCAGATGGCTGCTAAGACTTCAAGTCGAGTTTCCAACACTGGTAGCACCCCATTGCTATTCTAGAACCAGGCCTAGTATAGTACTTATTCCGTCATGCCCACCCGCCTGCTCTGCTGACTCATCCAGTTCACTCACTGGCAGCCTACTAAGTAACAGAATATAATGAATTGGCTAATTTCTTTCACAATTGTAAAACCTTTCTTCGCTTCCTCAAAGTTAAACTCAGCTTGCAATAATGATGAAAATAAAGTAAAATATAATGAGAGGATTTCAGTGAATCGTCATACGGCAACACTAGGAAATCTTGCGCCAAGAGCACTGAGGTTGCAAGTATCATGATACGAAAGAACTTAGAAAATTCCTCTTTGTGATCATATATATTTTTCATTCAGACCTCACAATAGTAAAGGCGGATGAAGAAAAGTGGTTGCATTACGTGTTGAGACGCCATTTAAAAAGCTGTAATGCAGAGGGGGTGCATGCTCTGCAACGAAATCGGTGTAGGCCAGATGCTGTATGATGTCAAAAGGGTAAAAGATGCGACCACCATACTTTAATTATCTGGGACAGTGGTAAATTCAGTGCGCAAGGACCACAGTTAAATCTATCACAATTGGATGCCATTACAGGCCACTAAGCGTTGGTGTGCATGGCTTCACCATGTGGGCGCAGTGCGCAGGCCACATTTACTTAAGTGCATTATAGATCGAAAGAAGCAAGAGGTTGAACTTGGCTATAAATACAACCGTGTCCCTAATTCTAGAAAGCAGAAGGATGAAGCGGCGAAAGCTATTTCAAAGGAATTGCAAATGTATTCAGAAGGCATGGTCACCATGCTGGTTCGGGTAAGCCAATAATGTGAAATTTACGAAGTTAATTAACTGACAGAAGAGCATCGACGGAATAGTTGGCGGGTGGTTACTGAGTTGTGCACAGAGAGAAGCGAAAATAAGAAAAACGCAATACTTGAAAAATTCACGGTCACAGGAACCACGTGTGAGGTGGGCACACGGTTTAGGCAATGAACGTGATATTACAGGCAATGTGGTTAAATAATAAAAATGATCACTTACAGCTTTAGTTTTCTTCTGAAACACTTGTGCTAATGAAAAGTCTGTTTTCATTAAATAATCGTAAACTAACGAGGCTATAGTTTTGTTCGCCGCCATGATTTAATAATTTAAATTAGACTGATTCACAAGGTAACACGAGGCGAACTTCAGAGACACATGGATGAGAAAGGAAAGATGGCGGTCGTGGTTCTCAGTGCGCCATGGTAGAAGATTGAAAGGTGGTAAACATGGTGGCCTTGTGTCCAAAGTGACGTCACAATCATAAGAGCCCTCTCTTTCTCTCTTGCAGTGTTTTATAGCATCTTAATTCATTGTCGTAGATAAAATGGCTACCAAATGAAATCATCAGCCGTATGGTGTTTATTAGCTAAAAAGTTGGAAAATCCACAAACACAATAGAAATTTTAGGGAATTTTCAGTCGCGCAGCGCTGCCAAATGTTTACAAATATCCAATTCTGTTTTCTTTATATCATTTAGGGTTAGGGCTAATAATGTGAAAACTAATGATGAAACTACTCAGATGAAATTTTTCCTGTTAATTTTTACGTATTTCACACTAATGTGTCTACAACATTTTGATTTCACGCTGCACCAGCGAAAAGCGGGTGGATGTCTTGGCAACACCGAATGGCAGATCTCTCCCAACCTAACCTAAGTGTATTGTTTATGTTGATTGTTGTGGTTGTGTACCTCATAAAATATTTCTTTAGTCATTTTTTGATTTTTTTGCATGTAATTCTTATTGTTACAGCGATACTGTACACGATAGATTAAACCAAAGCTACCATAAGTTCAGCATTAATTCGAGATCTGTGTTTTGCTCAAAATCCTCAGGCGCCCTGTGATACTTCGTTTCAACATTACTGCCGAACATGATATTTAGTAAGTATCACCCTTCCTACACAAATTAATCGGTGTGAATCTGATCTATCCTTAACTTTAGGTAGTTCAGTCATGATTTTACAGCTAATTTGAAGCACATGGTACTCTTAATTCTGATCCTTTGGTACTTGGAGATTCTCTGAGGAAAGCAGTGCTACTTACTTCTCTGTCACTATAAGAGAGTCGCAATTCTCCATGACAAACTTGTAATTTCTCCTCTTAAAGTGGGGTTTTTCTTTGTTTTCACACAACTCTACAATCCGTATTTTCTTAAATATCTACTCAGATTGAGTTCGAACATTATTGAAGGCAAAGCTTACATTTGATTGTAATTAACCTTTTCAGAACACCTTGGATTCACGTGTTTCATTTTCTTTCAAGACTTCCAGAATACTAAAATGAACCTGATATCAAGCTGAGACAAACCAGAGCACAATATTTCCAAGCTGTAAGTTTTTTTCCTCTCTTATTATCTTACATTAAATTCCAGTTGGATTTTCTCGTTGATTTAGTGGCGAAAACAGGTTTTATTATACATTTGAAAATTGAAAATTGTTGAGATCAATATCTTTTGCGCCTACCTGTGCCACCCCCAGGCAGCATAGTTAGGCTTGAATGATACAAGATTAACAGCCGGAGGTTGGAGAATAGAAACCTGAATTAGTTCTGGTGGATTCAGAGGAAGGAACCAAAAACAGCTTACATTTAACCATTTTCGGTCTGCTGCCAGTATTGTCATTTCACCTAAACCTTGGGTTGGAGGGAGGGGGAAAGTTACCTGACATGACCCTTAACATGATACATAAGTAAAGAAATGTATAAATGAATAGCTTGGTGAGAGCATCTAAACGTCAACTCAATTAAAGTTAATTTTAACATGAGTTAAATTAAATAAGTTAAAATAAAAACAGGTATGAATTAAAACACCTAATAAGATTGTTCAAAAATCAGGTTTTCAGCAATAAAATAAATTTTTCTCGTTTTTTATCCAGGCCTTCTGAGCGCAGGAGGGTGCAATTGCTCCCTCCCCCCCACCCCCAAACGCCGCTATTTTCTGCTAGCCCGATATTTTCCAGGCTAAGACGTAGCCATATTTCATTTTATTTTTAAATTTAAAGGCATCATCCATGTGATGAACACTATCCTCACCCACCATACTCCATGCGAAGTAAACTAGAAAATGTGTCTTTTGATTTTTCATGTGCCTTAAAGTTCTTGCCAGAGTTTTTCAATGTTTTAAAATTAATTTTTTTCTCCTCAGGCGAACAATACTCAGTGAGTTCAAGTATGGCTCTGGTGTGTGATGAACAGAAGTTTGAGTCTTGGACAGTGAAGACTCAAAAGAGTCATATTTTAGGATCTATCTGTGTTAATGCCAAATCTGGTGGTTGTGAAGGAAAACCACCTGCCAGCAAATGTGACTATTGCAGTTTCACATCAAGCGTTGAGCTCCCTCACTTGCCAGAAATGGTCTTTCCAAACAACATTCTGACAGTATGCCATGAAAGCGGCTGTGGGTTTACTTTCCAAGCACTGGAGGCTCTGAAAACGGTTATTGTTGGTAGTATGCCGCTCAAAGTAGCTTGCTCAGATGTGTGGAAATCATCTCGCCAGGATAGTGGCTATATGGATAGGTTAATTCATTCGTTTGACTGGACATTCACAACATTGTACCGAGGGTCTCTCCTCGGCAATTTCGTTGTAGATGATAAAACAGAATGTAGAATCAATTTAGAAAAATTAAAAGAAAAAGAACAGATTTTACACTATGAAGACATGATGCTTTTTGAGGATGAACTGCATGATAACGGAATTTCTGTTCTTTCTGTAAAGATTCGTGTCATGCCAAGTGGGTTTTTTATTCTTCTTCGATTTTTTTTGCGAGTTGATGGTGTTCTAGTGCGAATCAATGATACCAGAATTCATCATGAGTTTTGTAACAATTACGCCATTCGCGAAACAACTTTGAAGGAAAGTCAGATCTCTGAGCTCAATGTTCCTTTAGGTCACCTCGGGGACCCAAATTTAATTCTACCCCACCTGAATTTGAAAACAACAGTATGTGAAAAATTATCTTTTCCATCATCGTAGCATTTGCCTGCCACCTGCTCTTGTATCATTGTTATTTTAGTTTTTATCTTCTCATTTTTCATTAAATTTTTCACCTTTTGGTACATACGCTCTCTCTTTTTTTTTTACCTTCTCTAATCACCTGTTAGGTTCAAATTGTTTGACCTCATCAAACTTGTCATGTATAGTATAGTTCTTAAAGAAAGTATTTTCATTTTACTGAGTGCTGGAAAATTAGTGTACCTACCATCCAGTTCGATTCAAATGAGCTCAAACGTTTTTGCAAGCAGAAAAAAATATTCAAATGCTAAAAACGCTAATTCCTCACTTATGGTGTTGGTGCAAGTCAGCAACCATGTGTCTCGGTTTGCGATGTAGCTGACTTCCTGTTATACTTTATGTTTTCAATGAAAAACCACTCAACGGTAATGCTTAAAAACTGTCGTGATTTATCTTCCCTGTCCGTAGAAAATTTTGCGAAAACTTCAAGTAATGATGTCGATTTTTTCTCCTTTAAAAAAATAATAAAGGAGTGGAAATTTTCAAACCTCGCAAATAAGATACGTGGTTGCGGACTTAAGCCTTTGATGTGTTGATCTGAAAATGCTCAGTGTAGCCATCCTGCTACATGTATATTAAACTTCATGAAAAAATTTTGATTATAGAAGTCAAACAATGCAAATGACATATGAGTGAGAAGGCAATTGAGTCAATCAGTCAGTTGTTAAATTATTTTCCCATTATTGTTAAGATAAGAACTGTGGTGTCCTTAGAATGTTGTGTTCCTAGCAGATTTGCTATTTTCAAGACAGATATTCCGCAATCTTTGCTCTTCTAGAATCCCATTGTCACTCTTATATTAATCTTGCCTTTTTTTTATTCAGGGTATAAGCCTAATTTTAAAACTTCATTTAATTTGCACATGAAACTCATTTTTACAAATCTAGTCTTAACTGTGAAAATTTAGTTTTTGGTTCCGGAAGAAAAGGTACAAAAATATATAAGGTCTTTCCCCTTCTTACCCTCCATACTGTTTTGAAAAATAACATTTTAAACAAAAGTTAAGTTAAAGTTTTATTTAGATTATTATGCTGGAGATAAGTCTGGGATGCATGTCTGAAATTGAAAACGCCTTCATCGTCTTTTACACAGATTAGTTTCGGGGTTCCTGGGCAGAGGCAACTAAACTAACTGCCTTACAATGCGCTTAGTATCACGCAAATATGAAGGCGCTCCACGAAAAATGATCTTTCTGTAATCATCTACTCCAATAGAGCTATTCCGAACTTCAGAGTTAGGGCTGCCCAAACAATATACAGAGGCTCCTGAACAAAGTAGGTAAAGTAATGGTCCGTCGGGAGAGATCTCAAGCAGGAGGGGGGGGGGGGGGGGGGGGGGGTAACTCCCCTGGTAAGTATTCAAAATTAAAAATAATAAACGTGCAATTTTTAGCTTGGATTTCAAGCCTATTAAATAGCTTTCAGCGTAATTCGAAAATACGCACATTTTTATCAGGGGCGGACCATAGAGAAAAAAAAGGAGGTGTTTGCATCTTGAGGATTTGTACCCACCTACGTCATCAATGTAAACAAGACGCTCGTTGAGGGTTATGTTGACGCTGTAAAAACGGACCATAATGTCCGATTTTTTTACTTAAATCAACTCTTTATTTAATTTCAAGCACTTTTTATAGAATGACTTTTTCCCTTAAATTACACCATTTCCAAGAAAATCGACAGGATAAAAACGTCGCTGTACCCAATGACGTCATCAAAGCTATAGATACTCTATGAAAAATTCCAAGATGCCCGAAATGCAAACACCTCCTTTTTTTTCTCTATGGGGGCGGACTGGCCATGGGGGCAAGGAGGCGATCGCCCCCTAACAATTTTCTGCGGAGGTCCCGAAGAGGCCCCCGCGGCGAATTTTTTTCGAGTCATCGTTTTTTTCCCGTAATGTTGTAATTTTCTTATCCTTTTCAATCACTATAAGTAAAAGGCCCCGAATTCCTTAAAAATTTGTCTCTAAGAGACATGGAAGGTCGCCAAAAGCATTTGTGATGAAGGGACCCCCGATGAATCCTGAGAATGAGTTATTTTGAAGTTCAAGTACTGAAGAATCCAACTCCAACAATGCCTACGTGTTTAAAAAGTGTGAAATTTTCAAAATTTACCGAGGGAGGGCCTGCGGACCTTCTTAGAAGGGTCCCCAAACGACAGGAGGGGCCCTTACATTTAGGTCTCCTCCTAACGTTTCGACTACCAGTCCGCCCATGTAGCCGCCACTGCAGTTTTGACCATTAAGGCCGTAATTTAAGGGCGCTAAAGCCAGGATTGTATATCGCAAAAAGATAATTTTACTAGAATAATTAAAAATTAAGAAGCAGGAATAATTTAACTAAATACTAAAAGGAACTCAAATCGACAATATAATGCAATTTGGAAAGTCTCGTTTTGTAAATACAGAAGATTCAAAAACGCCTTCAATTGAAGTGTGATACCTCACGCGTTCCGGAGTGTTCAAATAGTTGTATCCCTGAGCCTCAGCAAGGCGATAAAGGTTTAATATTGAAGCAGCGTCCCCGCTTGGTTTTTCGGCTTTCCTGTGCCGCTTTTATGTGCCGTAGTCACCAAAGTTACGTGAAAGAGATGGGCTAGGGGTTCGTTAGACTCCAAGGAAAGCCCCAAACTCGGATAAAACGAAAAAAATTGTTCTTATTCATGAGGTCACGAGGCGGTTTAGCAAATTTTCCGGTACCTCGAAAACTCTAGTGTCAATCCGGCCCCGCACGGTAAGCCGGGTCCTTTTCCAGGGCTCGGGATTTAGGCCGAAGTCCCGTCTGCTCCCCCCCCCCCCCCCCCCNGATCGAATTATTTTCCCTCGCGGAACACTCGCACGTTCATTAACGTATCTACTATTGTTAGATAAAAATCCTTAAGATCATTAAAAATAAGGTTCCGTCACAAGGGTGACATTTCGTGAGATTCATTACGATTGCTCTTGGAAAAATTCACACTTAAGCGTCAAAATTAGTTTTTCCAATGGGGGGAAAATCCAAACACTAGGTACCTAATTTTTGACGGGCATAACCTTGTAATTTACTTAAACAACGAATTTCTCGGAAAATTTGACAGTGTCGCGACGAAAATCAGTGCATAGTTAACTTCATTGGCACAATAGACAACGCTGACATGAAGTGAAGATATAAGAAAGCTAAGCTTCAGTTAGTGTCGCGTGTGACAGAGTGATACGGACGGATACTAGATGAATTGCAATATAATGTCTAGATGCAACTATTCGGGCTTCATGGATGTCCGTGTTGTATACGCATGAAAGTGAAGGCGTTTTTACATCAGACACTTACCGTCACACTCAGCGGCGCTCAGTGGAGCGAGTTAATGATAGGAGTCGAACAACACGTCGAAACATTTAAAGCTCATACCTATCGAAAGGTGCGGAAGGTAGAGGTTTCAGGAAAGATTTTCATTGATATTTGCAGTTTTACAGTAAAAAAAATTATGACCAACCTCTTCGAAAGGCTCGCGCTTACAGAAATTGTTGAGATTTCGAACCGAGAAAGTCAAAAGCGCGATATAAATAATGGAGTTGATGTAACTCGTCGGAAAAGATAGAAAAATGCATGCTGCCTTGCCAGCTTCCGCGACTGAGAATCTTGCGCTTAGAATTATGAGTTTTGTTCACTTAAAGGGTGTTTTCGCGCTTATGAAGGTTCTTGAAATTTCGATTCGAGAGAGTTAAAAACGCGCTATAAATAATGAAATCGCAATACAGGTCGAACAAGATGGTGATATTCATGCCCCGTTGCCTTTTTTCTCTGGATGATTATCTTGAGAGCAGAATTTTGAATTTTTTTTTACGAACACCGATGGTTAAAAAACCCGAAAAAGTTAAAAATGCGCTTTAAATAATGAAGCTCAACGCGCCTGGCATAGGACGGAAAATGTATGCTTTCATGGCAGCTTCCCCGGCTAAGAATACGGAGCTCGGAATTTTGAGTTTTGTTTCCCAGGGATACTTTCGCACCCGTGGAAATTTCTGAAATTTCGATGCGAGGAAGTGAAAAACTCTCTATAAATAATGAAGTCAATGCAACATGTGCGAAAAGAACGAAAATTAGATATTTCTTTGAAATGAACGCGTGGTCGAAAAAAGTCGGGGGACTTTTTTTGGGAACAATATTTCGTTTTATTTATTAACCATGCGTTTAAGTCTCCAGAGATCTGACTTATATTACGCACATAAGTACTGAAGCCTGTCCGCACCAACATTTTCTTAAATTATGTTTCTCCATAACTGCAGAGGGTGATTCTGAAAGGCAGTAAATCGATGAGACAAGTCCAAGCACAGATTGCAATAAATTGCGATTACCTGCATCGTAAAATTATTGCTAATAATGTATCAGTGTGTTGTGTATGTTGCCTATCCACTAATTAAAGGAACCTTCTCATTGAAAAGTGCAATAAAATTGTGATGAGTCACAGTTCTACCGAGAATTTTAAATTGCCTGTTCTGATACATAGAGCTTGTCTTATTTATCGTTCAAAATCGGCATTTATTGACCAAATGATGCCGAAGTATTTCAGTTTTATGCACTTTTGCATAGAAATTTTATTTTAATACACGGAAAAAAACAAATGAATGCTGAGTCCTAACACTTCAGGCAAAATAGCGTCAACTGCAGGCAGTAGAGCTGAGCCCTACAACTTTAGGGTCCAGCCCTATACAGGCTGTAGGGTTCAGCCCTACTACCTAAATTTTGGCGCTATTTTATTTGAAGTGTTAGGACTTTGTGCTAAGTTTTTTCCTGTGTACTTTAATTGCACTGTGTTGGATATTTTTTTCTGTCCAAAGGAGGATCTATCAAAGCTTCTCAAGCACAGCTGTTGAAAAATGAATGTTAAGAATTGTCTCGAGGAAGGTAAGTTTTATCATTTTTGAGGAGATGATGACGAAATACAGTTTAATTCGGGTTTTCATATCTTCGGTGAGAATATATGAGAGGTTTGGAGCAGGACAAGGCGCATACCTAAGTGCAGTTTTTGAAAAAATTGAGAAAATGACTTCAACTAAAACTAATTTGAAAGTAT